GCACCTAAAATGGGTGAACTTTACTGTATGTGTATTATACCTCAAAACTGACTTTAGCTGGCAACCTTTTATTAAAATTTGAGTAATGTAGAAAGAATGATAGAGTTAGCATTTAAAATGATTGATTCAGGCAAAGGATCTTGAATGGATGCTAAAACCATGAAGCGAAATGTTATTGTGGATGGAATAGTATATTGACATAACTCCCATAAATTACTGCTAATCTTTATAATTTGAAGAAATATGGGCAGTCACCACCTTAACTAAGTAATCAGTCAAATTTCGCATTGCGAACTAGGTGATAATTAGTGGACATTAAGTGGACTAGTGGACATTATGTGCCTACTGGATGTTATGAACTAGTGGACATCGTGACTCCTGACTTGGAGTAATATGAAGTATGCAGCACATATGAGACTATTCTTGTCCAAAAATATTAAACCTGAATCGAATCAAGCCTTTAAACCTAACTTCCACTTTATAGGAAATATAGGAGATAAAGCAATGGGTTAAATTACACCATGAGAAAACAATCTGACAAATACAGCATGTGGGATATTCTCTAAGACAGCTTGCCTGGTATTTTCAAGAACGTCAGCTTAATAGAGGATAAAATAGGGAGACCCTTCTAGATCAAAAGAGAGAGAACAAACAGTACTTGAATACTGCTTTGATCCTGGTTTTGGGGGAACAGCTCTAAAGAACATTTTGGGAGCAGTTGAGGAAATTTCAATCCAGACTGACAGCATTCAGTGACATTAGGGAATTATTTTTCATTTTTCTGAGATGTAGTAATGCTATTGTAGTTAAGTGAGGAGAAAGTATTTCTAGGATATAGATGATTAAGAGGTGAAGTGTCTTGATGTCTGCAACTTATTTTAAGTATACACACACATAAAAAGCAAATAGGTTAAATGTTAACAGTTGTCTCTAGATGGTATGTATATGGCTAATCATTAGTATTACTGTTTTAACTTTTTTCTGCATGTTTGAAATTTTTCATAATAGAGGTGAATGTCAGAATTCAGTTGAGAGAAATAGTATTTATTGAAGATGGCATTATGATATGCAGTGCATTCTTATAGATCCTATGAATATCAGGCATCTGTACCTACATTGCACCCTGAGAATAACTTTTTTACCACACTGTGTTTTGGCATTATATTACACTGGCCTACTTTGAGAACCGGTATAGAAAACAGCTCTGTGAAATGCTTTGTATTGTAAGTGTGTCTTTGAGAGCATTGCTTACTGTATCGTATGGTGTCCTTTTGGGGAAAGATGAAACTTTGGATTTCAACAAGAATAGTTGTGCTGCTTCTGAGAAACTGGATTTTTGGCTGTTACAGACATTGAATCAGGTAAGGGAGCAGAGCTTATGTTTTACTGGCTGCTAGAAAGCTCAAATCTCACTTGTGGCCCATCTCTAGCAAGTGTACCTCCCAGCTATACTGCTGACTGCGTCAGAATATTTCCTGCCTACTCTCAATTTTCCCTCAATCTGATTCCCTCATCTTTTTTTTTTTTTCCCCTGGGGAAGGTTAGCCCTGAGCTAACGTCTGTCACCAATCCTCCTCTTTTTGCTTAGGAAGACTGGCCCTGGGCTAACTATCGGTGCCCATCTTCCTCCACTTTATATGGGACGCCGCCACAGCACGGCTTGACAAGCCGTGCATTGGTGCGCACCAGGGATCTGAACCTGTAAACCCCGGGCTGCCGCAGTGGAGCTCACGCACTTAACCACTGTACCACTGGGCTGGCCCATCCCTCATCTATTTTTTGGTTGTATTTATTTTGTAAGATGCTTATGCCAACAATGTTCTAGTCATATTAAAAGTATTTAAAATAATATAGTTTATGATTTGAAAGTCCCAACCTAAAAGACAGATTTTCACATTGTTATTGTTAGTCTTATAAGTTTTTGCTCCAAAATCCAGAAATCCTTTATCCTCCAACCATCTTTAGAATAAGGGAGTGTTACCAGAAAATTAAAACATATAAAATTTTAAATATAATTAAATAAGATATAAAAATGATATTTTCTGGAGTAACATTGTTGTAACTTTATTAGTGTCAAATACCTTATGGCGGCGAGGGGTAATGCAGGGGAAAGAACAAGGAAATCAAACATGGAAATGGATTTTCAGCGATGGTTAGAATTGGCATTTTCCTTGAGAATTTCATTTTTTTATGCTATTTTTTTTTCAGTAAATAAAGGGAAGTAAAATATGCCATTGTTTCACCTTTAGCATTTCTGAAAGAATTATGATGCACAAAAAATTCCTAATGAAAGATTATATTAGTTGGTCTTGAATGGTGTCCAAATTCCTTTTCTCCCACAGTAGTATCTTCCTTCTGTTAAATAACTTTATATTTTATAAAATATTTTTCAGTATCAGCAAGTTGATATAGATATATTTACAGTTTGCTCTTGCTGCCTTCTTGGGAGTTGAAGTCCTCACCCAATTTCTTTTTTAGGATTGCTGTATTATATTATATGCATTGTCTGACAACAGAATGTTTCAAGCAGGGATAACAACATTCACTGTAAAATATGTTGTATGAATTAATGATGTCTAGGACATTTTTAAGATTTTATGTATAAAGTAGGAGTGTCTTTTGATATACCTTAAATTTATTCTAACTTTTTAAAAAAAAATTATTCACTTGATAAATAAGGTTTTCTTCTGTAGCTAACATTCCTAAGTTCAGTGGAATCTTCCACTGAAGATTTTTTTCCTCCAAAGATCTGGAAAGTAGCTTGTTAAACTAAATGATCTGTAAAGGCTTTTGTATTTATGAAATTAAGTTTTGGCTTTATATTTGGACATGCTTAAATCTTAACCTTAATCACCTCTGATCTTCTGCCATGAGAACCATGCTAGAATTGTGGTTGTAACATAGGTGTGAGTGAGGTAAGACTGCCATCTCCTTTGCTCCAGACGGAATGATTCCTAGAACTAGGATTTAGCTTTCATTGCTCACATCTCTGGAATTCACTTTTTCTAATTTGCCAAAATACAGTAAAACAAGATGCACAGTTTTCTTTCTTTCTGCAACTATTTTTAAGTGAAAGTACTATTCATTCTCATTCATTTCTTAACACATGACAATCAAGTTTGATTTTGCAGTAGTGCCTGTTAGTCATGTGAATCCTGTACAACATCTCCTTTATGCTGCTTCACACATCACTCACAGGACAAGTTCCCACAAAGACCTGTTTTGTTCTACTGTCGATCCACCCTAAAGAAACCAGTTTCCAAACTATGTGCAGCTTTGTAAATCAAGATGAACTGGTCAGAAATTGGATACAAAAGCAAACAAGAAACCAAATAATACTTCCTAGTTAACAAGCAGAGTGTGTTATACATAATAAAATCGCAGGTAATGAAATATTATGCCTTCTAAGAATATTCTAATTAAAAAGTTTATATCACATTCATATTGTAATCATAGTTCAAGTCATTAGCTTGTTCCCATTATTGTTAGAGTTAGGAAAATATAAGTAATGCTTTAGTAAGATATTCTAGGCAACAGAGGGCAATGAGAACAAATGATGAAATGTGAACTTTAGTTCTGGATATTTCTTACAAGCCCTATACGTGATAACTAACTCCCAAGTTTGATAAGAAGAGGAGTTTGGTATTAGACACAGATTTCCTTCTTTCTGACAACAGTTAGCAGACCGCATGAGGAGGGAATATAGTAGCATGCAGGATTTATTTTCCCAGGAACTCTCGTAGGTCAGAAAGAAAGGAACACCTACACACAATTCATAAGTAACAGAATATGTTTTTCACCATAGTGTTAAATTCAAACATAGTATATTCACAGCTTAATTTATGGTTTTTGAAAATACCCTTGAAATATTTTCTCTTTGAATAAATGTTTTGTCAAGTTATTTTACCTTCTTGTTTAGAACTTGAAAGAATATATAGCACTGTTCAAAAGTTTTGTTTCCTTTCAGATGATCTCTAAACGTTGTGCTTTTAACTCAGTATCAAATAACCTTCCAAAGAATCTGCATCTTTCGTGGTGCTTTTCTTTTCCTCTTGAGAAATTAAAAAAGGAAACAAAGCAAGCAAAGAAAACTTAAAATGTCCTCTACTCATTATTCCAACAATAGGCAAAGACCAGGCTTCCACAGCCAAAGTTAGAGAGTTCTTAGAGTACTTAGTGGAAATATATCATCTAGGTCCTGAATCAAATAAATATATTATAAAATATAAACCTATTGTGGCCGTCACATGACACACTTAAAAATTTCCCATCCTCCTTATTCCCCAACACATTTTGAGAAGAAAATTATAATAAAAATTTGCGGTTGTTTTTCTTTCATAAAGCACTTTTCCACCAGATATTCACATGCACATAATTTATTTTCTGTTTTGAAGAAACCGGATTAGCAAGATAACTTTTCTAAAACATTTTTTTTTTCACATAAGAATACAAAAGGATTACATTGAATAATTAAATGCCTTCTTGCTTCCAGCTGCTTCTCCCTGGCACTCCTTTCTCAAATTTCATAGTCTGCTCTCCCCTACAGACTGACAATTCAGGACTCTAATGTCTCATTTCTCAATAGTAATATTTGAATTGTTGAATCAGTAGTCTTAAAATATGAATTTGGTTCTCTAAATGAATTTAGTTTTTATTGAAATATGACTTACAGTAAAATGCATATATCTTAACTGTACTGTTTGAGTATTAACATAGGTACACATCAGAGTCCATGGAAAGGACTTTCTCAGAATACTGCCAGGAGGTTAAAAAGTTTCCTAGATGGTTCTGAGCTACACTCAGTTAAGAATCTTTGCCTTTGTAAAGAACCAAATCAAGTGATATACATAAAAATACATAGTATGTCATAAAATGTTACACAGGTTAAAGTTAGGTTACTGTTTTTAAAACACTTAAATTTCTCATGTGCCTGTTTCATGAGGTTTGCAATGCTGGCTCACAGGTGAAATTCTCAATTCATTTTTCTGTTTGTTTTTAAGAAAATTAATGCAAAACTTCATGATGGAGTCTGTCAGCGGTGTAAAGAAGTTCTTGAATGGCGTGTAAAATACAGCAAATACAAACCATTGTCAAAGCCTAAAAAATGGTGAGTTAAGTTTCTTAATTACCTTACCAGTAATATCTATATCATAGTTTATTATTTCATTCCTAGATTTTCAAAACTGTATCCAAGTAAATATTAAAGTAAATAGAGAAAAAATTCCATTCTCCCCTGTAGAATTTCATCTTACATGCTGAATCCTGGCTTGTGAAGGCAAGTAGGTGGAAAAAGTAGACTCATCATTCCCTGCCCCATTTTTTCATAAATAAATAATACACCGTTTTTATAGACTCTTAAAAGGTAGGTTAGGGCAGAGAGGAGAAAGTTTGTTTTGCAAAATTCTGATGAGATTATGTTTACGATGGATCATCTTTACCAAAGGGGTCATAAAAGGGGTCTGACCTTTTAGTTCAACCCATGAAGATTACTAAAATGGCTTAGATTGAGTGTCACAAATAAATTGCTAGGTTGACAACTTATAATTTCATTCCTTTGAAGATTTGGGTTTACATGAAAAGATACTGGACTTTGTTTCTCATCCCTCTGTCCTCACCCTTATTCTGTAAATCTGGGATTCTGTCTTATCAGCCTTATGCACATCCTGGTGCTGCTCTCCTACATCCTTTGGCTCAGCTCAGTAAGGACCATATTGGAGGGTAATTGTTGCCTGAAAGAAAAGTGATAATTTTAAATATAAAAATTAGCTTTAATATATGTGATAGTATTTTTAAATTATAAGTTTTAATTTGATAGTCTGTAGAGTAGCTATTTAGAACACATTTGTTCATTATTGCTTTATTTTCCTTTTATTCAGTAGTGGCATCTTCATTAAATGTATTTCCTCTTCCTTTATGGGAGGAAATTTTACTTAAAGTTTGGAAGGTCAGTCTAAGTAATAAATACAATATAACCTTTGCTGTTTATTTTTATTGAAAAATTATGTCAGCCCTCTTGCGAATCTTTAACTCAAGCTATAGGGGGATTTATTTTCTTGAGAATATTTAACAGTTTTGAATGTTTTAGTTAGGATGATTTATTTTGCTTAAGATACTGAAAGGTAAAAGCCTCAAGGAAGGATAGACTAACTTTAGCTGTTTAGTTTTGTTTTCCTGTGTTACTCTTTCAGAGCAGAATTTTTAGTATTTATTATAGGTATAATTGACCCCCTTTTAAATAGATAAACTAGTTTCTCTCTCCTATTTTTCAGTCTTTTCTTCATGTTCTTTAGCATTTCCTCCCAGACGAAAACACTTTTAAACAAATCTGATGAGTTTTATGCTCACTGGCCTAAATTATCAGTGGGGATATTTGGCAACTGTTTGTACTATGCAACGCTCGATTTCCATGAATGAATTAACTGTGGTCTCTACCATAAAAATTAGATGCTGGTTGTGCTATAAGCCATGTAGTTTTAGTTAATAGGCTTAACATAATATTTGTATCTTTCTGAATATTTTCAACAAGTCTTTCTATAAAGGTATTTTGAGATTTTATCACCAATCTCCATTTTTCTCTTGGTAGCATTATTTTGTAAAAGAATTTGTAGTATAGGTAATAAATATTTATTATTTAGCCATAGAATTTTAACAGGTAGTGTTATGACAAAGGAAATCATTTAAAAACACTCCTGCCTTATCCATTATTTGCATTTTAATCTCTTAGCTTTACTATGTGCTGCCTCCTATATATTTATCTTCCTTATGAATGTGCCAGTGTGTAAAAGATCATATCAATCATTATAAATTTTCTAGATGCTATGATTTGCTGTAGAATTTCTGAACTTATTTATTTTAAACAGCTCTTGCATTTTCCCTCTTTTTGCCTATTACTTATGGTCTTAATATTTTTGTGGCTCCAGAAGAATTTGCATACTTTAAATCCTAGAAGAACAAATATTTTCTTGAGAAGGAAACAAAGACTCAGTTAAAACCAAAAGAAAAAGGAAACAGTGTTAGTAGCAAATCTTATATTTAGTTCCGGAAAACTTAGAAGGCAACAACCTTTAGGAATGGTTGGATATGACAGAATAGAGGAAGATTGGCACAGATGTTAGCTCAGGGAGAATCTTCCTCAAGCAAAAAGAGAAAGATTGGCAACAGATGTTATCTCAGGGCGAATCTTCCTCAGCAAAAAAAAAAAGAATGGTTGGATGTGGACATGTGGAGCCAAAGGTCAGCAGCTCTCTCCTGTCTTGGAGTCATTGAAGTCATTGGAATCAGGGAAGCTCATGGTGATGTTGCCACTACCTAGGCAGTACAATGACCCAGAAGCCTTCGAGAGACCTCAGTTGGGTCAAGGAGATGAGGGCTAAAGATGACCTCAGAAGCCGTTGTTCCATGTTACTGAGGCAGATGAGGTTAGCCATGGAATAGCTCATGATGAATGCAAAACGAAGGAAGTATAATATAGTACAAACACCAAAATACAAATAACAAGACATTAACGCCTAAAGGATCTAATGCAAAACTAAGGATAGCTCATCTCATGAGATGAGCTTCGTCTCATGAGAGACGAAGAAACACTAGCCAAAGCAAGATCTGAGCGATGTTATTTAGGAGGTCACCTGCCTAGCATAGAACATCTTGAATTTCAGATTACCCTGAACACATGGCACATTAGGCATTTTGGACAGCCTAGCATGCACACTCCAATCCAGGATTGAGCCTGTTGTAGAAAGTATAACTCACCTATATCCACCTTGTTTTCTTTGCATATTAAGACTTGACCAACATTGTAAGAGATATAAATCCACTGATGAAAGGTGCTGATAGTAGTATAACTTGCCCTGAAATTTCAAATGTTTTGTTCAAGCTAGTTGCTTATAAATTAAATTTGTCCTTATTGGGATTTGCATAAGAAGTTTACTTTGATGCTAGATGTGTTTTTTGTGTAAATAAATACCCAGTAGTGGAATAGTTGGATCGTAGGGTATTTCTATTTTTAATTTTTTGAAAAATCTCCGTACTGTTTTCCATAGTGGCTGCACCAGTTTGCATTCCCACCAGCAGTATATGAGGATTCCCTTTTCTCCATATCCTCTCAAACATTTATTATTTTTTATCTTGTTAATTATAGCCATTATAACAGGTGTAAGGTGATATCTCATTGTAGTTTTGATTTGCATTCCCCTAATAATTAGAGATGTTGAACATCTTTTCATGTGCCTATTGGCCATCTGTATATCTTCTTTGAAAAAATGTCTGCTCATATCCTTTGCCCATTTTTTGATTGGGTTGTTTGTTTTTTTGTTGTTGCATTGTATGAGTTCTTTATATATTTTGGAAATTAACCCCTTGTGGGATATATGATTTGCAAATATTTTCTCCCATTTGGTGGGTTGTCTTTTTGTTTTGTTCCTGATTTCCTTGCCTTGCGGAAGCTCTTTAGTCTGATGTACTCGCATTTGTTTATTTTTTCTTTTGTTTCTCCTTCCTGAGTAGACTAGCAGTAGACCGTTAAGACCAATGTCAAAGAGTGTACTGCCGGCTGCTGGCCTGGTGGCATAGCAGTTAAGTGTGCACGCTCCACTGCAGCGGCCCGGGGTTCAGATCCCGGGGACACACCAATGCACCACTTGTCAAGCCATGCTGTGGCGACGTCCCGTATAAAGTGGAGGAAGATGGGCACCGATGTTAGCCCAGGGCCAGTCTTCCTCAGCAAAAAATGGAGGATTGGCAACAGATGTTAGCTCAGGGCTAATCTTTCTCACACAAAAAAAAGAGCGTACTGCCTATATTTTCTTCGAGGAGTTTTATGGTTTCAGGTCTTATATTCAAGTCTTTAATCCATTTTGAGTTAATTTTTATGTAAGATAATGGTCTGCTTTCATTCTTTTGCCCATGGCTGTCCAGTTTTCCCAACACCATTTATTGAAGAGACTTTCCTTTCTCCATTGTATGTTCTTGGGTCCTTTGTCGAAGATTAGCTGTCCGTAGATGTGTGGATTTATTTCTGGGCTTTCAGTTCTGTTCCATTGATCTGTGTGTCTGTTTTTGTGCGTCTGTTTTTGTGTATAGGTGGCATTTCTTTTGGAATGAAGTAATATTCTGAATATTGGGAAAATTAAAGCCTTTTTCTCCCATTTGTTTTGCTTGTAAATTACCAGAAACCACATACAATTAGCAAATTTCCGTTGTCCATGGGATTTGATACCAAACATTAGATCCAAGAAAAAGAGTTTGACATCTAACTCTTCCGACTTACCTATTTTACCATGGGGAGCCAAAATCATACTGTGTTTATACTTGGCAGAAAATATTTCATGTTTCTTTTTCCTTTTTCAGTGAGATGACATGCTGCAGGATTTTTATAAGCATATTTTCTATGACAGTTTCTCCCAGTTACTGAAAACAACCCAGACTATCCCTAGAGACTTTTTAGAAAAGAATAAACGTCCTAACTTGAGTTGCAAAAGAGAAGAGTTGAAAACTCTGTATTTGCTAGAGGGGGATGGGATGATGGCCGGAAGAGGGAAGAGGATAAGACACATGTCACCTGCTTATTTGTTTTTTAGACACATGTATCTAGACAAATAAATTTTACATTCAGGTTTGAAGCCTAAGCTGGTACCTAGAAACTTCTTATGCCTTGTGTTTCGGGTAACAAAGCAACCTTTTTCTTCCATTAATTTAGAAGTGTGTTAGGCAAATACCCATATTTGTGTTAGAATCTCTAGCCTGCTGCTTTTCTCTTCCTACCCATAAAAAAAAAATCACCAATAATCTAGTGTTAGCTGATGTTTAACATTGCCATAGTAGTAGAAGAGAAAGGAGAAGCTGATAGAAAACAACAGCAGACCACAGATTGGGGTCTGAGCTTAGAATCAGACCGATAAGTCTTCTATATGAGCAGTTCTTCACTGGGAAGGGAGGATTTTATCCCCCAGGGGATGTTTGACTATGTCTGGAGACATTTTTCTCATGACTAGAGGATGTGGGAGTGATGCTAGTGGCATGTAGTGGGTAGAGGCCAGGGATGCTGCTAAGCATCCTGCAGTGCATAGGACAGCCCCCCAACAAAGACATATCCAGCTCAACATGTCAATC